AGATATGTTAGGCTGGCCTGATTTGACAATAGCGTTTGACATGAATAAATCTATTCTTTTCAGAGACATATTATCGGGTGATACGCCCGAATATTTGCGCGCATATATTAAAAAAACGATCCAATTCCTTATTCGCTTTGCCGTCGACCTGAGTTAAAACAACTGCACTTTAAATCTGTACGTGTAGAGAAATCTTTTTTCCCTTGTACAACTGCTATATGGAATTCATTGCCCGATGCTGTAAAACTGAATCGCTTCCGAAAACACAAATTCAAGACTGAACTAAAAATCTATTATAATATTAATATATTTCATTATCGAATGTACGGTATTGATCGAATAGCAGATATCTCCTTTAACCGTTTACGTGTGGACTTTCCACTACTAAATGCAAACTTGTATACTAAAATACTGAATCTCACTAATCTTTGTACCTGCGGTGATATTGAAAGTGTTGATCATTATCTGCTATTGTGTGGTGTACCGATCGCAAAGAAATATTCTTGAACAGAAACTCTCAACTTTGGACTTGCCGCAATCCCTAAGTAGTGAATTGCTCTTACTTAAAATTCGTCTCTCAAAGGAACAGTATTTTATAGTGTACCGAGGTGCTATTGAATATATCCATTCAACTAAAAGGTTTACGATGTAAAATAGGAAGCAGTGTTTCTTCAAACTGTTAGAAAAAAATAGATTGCTCCACGTGCTTATCCACGTGATATAAACGTGTACATATACTCTCGCCACGTGTATGATTGACGATACGAACGTTTTTTTCTTATTTTAAACGAGACCCAAAACAGCGTCTGTTATATAAGGTACACTACAAATAAAGACCTGCATGGACAATTTTTTTTGTCCATGGACAAAAGCGTTTTTCTGTCCATGTCCATCAGTTTGTCCATGGAATGTTCGCGTTTTTTAAATACGTTTTGCGTATGAGAATTAGAGACCTGCAAGGACAATTTTTTTTTGTCCATGTCCGTCCATGTCCATGACAGATTTAAAAAAACTGTCCATGTCCATCTAATGCAGGGCTCTAACTAGAAAACACTAGAAAATGAGACCTATTTAGATAAGGGAACAGAGAGCTGAATTTACTACCTGACTCGCTATTTATACTGATTTTTCCTTTTCAGATAAAGATTATAACAAGATCTATTTATACACAGAATACTTTCATTATTTTCAAGGACGGAATTTTCAAGGAGAATATCCTTTTTATGTTCACAGCAAAAGAGACTGGGAGCAATACAAATAGGTACTATGTTCTGAGTCACTGTGGTTCGGAATTTATTGTCATCTCGAAAAAACACCTGAACCATTTTCATGAGATTTTCTACTGAGTTCAATGCCGCGACGTTACTTTTTATGGACAGGTGCTCATATAACAATTTACCAGCATTTACATTTTCTTGGAAACAGTATAAAAGACGCTCAATCATTACTTTACACCATGCGAACAAAGTCTCATGTGGGTAGATACTGTGCATATACTCGACAGATTTCTTCCTTTACGTTTATCCGAGCTTACCTTATAAAATTCCCATTTATTTTTGTTATTTTATTAGACTCTGGCTTTATTTATTTGGACTTGAAATAGAGTAGGATATCTCGAATTCTCTTGAAGCGAAAATTTGTCAGGTAGATGAAAAGGAGCTAGCTAGACCAACCACAATTTTTAAAGCCAAATATTAATTAACCTTTCATGTTCAAGAGGTTCCAAAATATCTTATTAACCTAAGACTTGGATTCATTGTGGAAACCTAAATATAAAAAACTAAAGTTAGACTAATTAAAGATTAAAATAATCAATAAAGAAATTAAATGGATGTAGAATCCTAAATTCCTATCTGTTTGACTTGAAAAGCGATCAAGTCATTATAGATACGCAGAAGAACAATTTTTCGACGACATTGTAGTCAGCATATATATATATATATATACAGGAAAAAAATTATGGACAGGTTTTAAGATTATTGCATTTAGAGACAATCTCCTGGCATAACGGAGTGTTGCTTAGTGTATATGAAAATAAAAATGACAGCCAAGTGTTCATAATGATACTGGGATACTGCGAAACTATGTATGCGTGGTATTGGTATGATAAGTCGATACTATGAATTCGTGCTATATACGAGAGATCTCAAAATTTTACTTAAAACGAAGCTGGAAAATCTCAAAAATCCATCTCTTTCAGGGCAAGTCCAGGAATTTTTTGCTGCCCTGTCCTGCAACGGGGCAGAGCAACAAAAATATATCTCCCTGATCAGCAGGACAGGGCAGAGTGGCGGGGCATCCCTGCCCTGCGATGGTCTCTGGTATTATAGTATGACTTTATTAGTTTCACAGTGTCATCGTATTGAGACAAGCTTTACAGTTTCAAATTCTGTTCATCTAAGAAGAAGTGGTGAACCTATCAGAAAGATATGAAGAAAACCATTTTAACATATTAGATGATACACCTTTTTGATTCAGCTTGTAGAGTAAGCCAGCATGCGAGACCGAATCAAAAGCTTTTTTAAAGTCAAGAAAAACTGTTCTAATTAGTTTGTGGTTTTCGATTCCTAACTCCACAGCATGAACGAAATCAATTAACTGATTAACTGTAGAATCAGGATGGCAAAAACCAGATTGTAACGAAGCTAACAGATTATTTTTAGTTATGTAATTATAATGACGGGAATATACTACCCTTTCTAAAGGTTTTGAAAATACATGCCGTAAAGTAACAGGTCTATGATTATTCGGCTGCCAGTGTTCGCCGTCTTTGAAAAGTGGAGTAATACATCCTATTTTAAATGAAGATGGAAACTCTCCTTCACTGATTGATCGATTACAAATATTTGCTAACGCCTCATTTATCACATCACTAGATTCTCTAACCATTCTGCCAGTAACTTTTGAACTACAAGCCTTGTTTGCATTTAATTTTCGTAGTATTCTTTCAACCTCACCTGGATAAATTTTTTCTTTAATATCAAAACAGATTTCTTTCAATCAAAATATATACATATTAGTTTATGGAGATTAAATGAAGAATCAGGATCAGGTGGGTGAATTGAGTTAAGATCAATTCTTTTGATATGGCTTTCAAAAGTCTTCAAACATGGTTCTATAATTCCAGCATTTTTTCTTTTGACGTTAACAAAGTGTGGAGCATTTATCATGATCGTATTTTAATGAAAAAAATATTAATTTTTCACAATAAGTCGTATGCATTATCCGTGAGTCTTATTAGAAAAGGCTACATTTCACCAGATAGTATCGTCAGATTTAGCGACGGTTATCTAACCGAAACTCTACTCAGATCAAATCGGTTTAGTGACGCTTGATGTTCTGATATTCATTTCAGTTCATTACCGGAAAGAGCACTGTTTTCGATAATTAATATCTAGAGAAGAAGCAAAGTTCCTTGTCCGTTTATTTTTTTTTGCTTCCCTTTTTCCAACAAAATGTTACGCATATTGAAAATAACTTCATGTTGATGTTCGTCATTTTTTCGAAAGAAGTCTAAGCAAACACTTGAAAATTTGTTTCCTTCTTTGTCAATATCATTTTTCTTACTCTGTTTTTCATATTAATAATAACATTACCTTTTAATCGTAGAAAAATAATTGGCATATCGCTCCTACGACGCCAATATGCTCCTACGTTTGACATAGAACATAAAAATTTGTTACTTTTTGTACAAAAAACGAAAAAAAAGGTGAATGACAGATTTTCTCTGTGAGAATAAATCATGTCTTTGTGAAGTATATAAATTGTTAAAGCCGGCGGAACGAACAAAATTGTTAAATTTTGGTTAAAAGTTCGCATCGAAATTATTAATTCGTATTTTTAGTAACGTATACCATTTCTGTAACAAACTTTCTGTTCATCTATTGGTTTTGCTTTATCATCACTCTAGAAACAAAATTCGTTTTTAAGAAGAATGCTCCATCTTTCCAGATTACGTTTGAGCAACGTTCATATAAATTTTCAGCAAAATGAAGACAGGATCTGAAATGCGGATCTGAGCTGAAGAAAGGTTTTCTACTATTCAGATAACTATTTAATATACTGGCGCCTATTCTTCTACAGGAACTTTTTTGGACTATAACATTCATTATTTACATAGGTGTCTCTTGTCGGTGCATCTAAGTCATTAATTTTGAAACCAATTGTACGTAATAGGAGAGAGAATTCATTTCACAAAAACAAGATCGATCAATATAAGAGAAAACTTCAGAACCTATTTCATTTTTAAAATAGCTAAGAATTTTTGAAAATCTATTTGAGACTAAAGTACTTCCTGTAGTTCTTAGCTGCTAGAGTTCGAGAAAACCGTGTATCGAAGTCGAGTGTTATAAGAAAGCGTAGGTGTGTGTAGTGGTATGTATTGTGAACAGTGATGCTCCTCTGACACTTAGGAAGTGCAGATGTATAAGTAGAACACATGGACATATGCCCTGTTTAAGCTGTTAAAATAAGTTCTCTACAGCGCAGCAAGCTAGCACTCTATTTTAGCGTCCTGTGTAACTTCTGTAAGAGTACTTCACGTGCAAGGTACGGATCATTTTCTAAAAGGAAGATTAGTAGCGATGCACGCTAAGAAATTCTTACAATGTTTGAGTAAACGGCTAGAATATGAGGGAGAGTGTTCAAAACCGAAATTCATGAATTCTGATTATAACTATGCAGCTACTGACAGAGGTCTCTAGGCCAAAACAAAATGATAAGCCGAATGAAGCTGTGTGTATTTTTTCCTAATTAAAAACAAGTTTGCAATTAACAGTCTTGCATAAGTAACGGAGCACCATCACTAAACCTGAAACTTTTCACGAATTATTAAGGTGTTCGATAAATGTAACTTGGACAGAGGAAGCTTTAACGTTTGCAAAAATAAATGATTCACATAAATGCAAGAAATGAATATCTGTTTCAATCAGTTATGTCTAGCCCGTAAAGATTAATGATTGTTTCTTCTACAAGTGTTCGAAATTTCAGATAGTATTCAAATGAGCTCGGAGTTGGCTGAGTGGCTGAATGAACGCAAACTACCTCATGAATACAAATGTCCAGTGCCGGAAGGAACGTTCAGTGACACTGCAACTAATCAAATTCAAGGATCACTCGTCGGTCTCGCTCTGGGAGACGCACTCGGTGCACATGTCGAATTTCGTCCTCGTACTTTTCTCGTTCACCACCCAGTCACAGACTTGGAGGGAGGCGGAACATGGGGCTTGAATGCAGGCCAATGGACTGATGACACATCAATGGCCTTGTGCTTAGCTACGAGTCTAGTCGTTAAGGGCGAATTCTACGCATACGACCAATTGGTCCGATACAAACGATGGTGGAAAGAAGGATATATGTCATCTACAGGAAATTGTTTCGATATCGGCAATGCTACTCAAGAATCTCTTAACGTGTTCTACCAACGTCAAATGGGTCTTCAAAACAGGCTGGATATACCTTCTATGTATAACACTGACTCACTTTCGAGAGACATTATTGAGAAAGCGGGATTTAACGTTTTTTGTAGTAAACCGGGAGTGGCAGGGAACGGAGCCCTCATGCGCTTAGCTCCTGTTCCGTTGTTTTTCTATCGATCACCCAATCACGCCATCGAATATGCAGGTATTAGTGGTCGACTGACACACGGCGATGAGAAAGCGGGAGATGCATGTAGATACTATGCCTCTTTAATCTGTGCAGCTATGAGTGGATTCTCTAGAGAGGACTTATTAGATAACAAATTTTACCAGAACTGCTTCCGACATGGTTGGTTCGGTGAGAGACATCTGCATGATGACGTATTGAGAGTAGCGCAGGGTTCGTATAAGAAGAAAGGCGGTTACGATGATGGAATAAGAGGGAACGGATATATTATCGCCGCGTTAGAAGCGGCTCTCTGGGCATTGTGGATGGACGAGGGCTCATTTAAGAGGGGTGCTCTATTAGCTGTGAATCTGGGAGATGACACTGATACGACAGCAGCCATTTATGGTCAGCTAGCCGGAGCCTGTTATGGTTTAAGCGGGTTGCCACAAGAATGGGTAAAACGGCTCTATGGCAAAGAATTTATTTGTTGTCTAGGGTTTTGGTTAGAGTTGAGAGGAAATGAGTGGACTACACGATTATCTAGCGCTGTACAAAATGCGCCGCATTGGAAAGAACAACTCAGACATCATGCTAAACAGCAAGTATCGGCTCAATACGGTTATTCAAAACCTCAGAATGAAAAAAATGATAATCATCAAGCGTTTCATAAACATGGTTCGCCGCAAAATCCTAAACTAGTTTTTTGTCCAAATGGTTATGAATCAGACTCTTCTCTGGACACAGAAATTTATCATCCTCAACGTCGTATAGTAAATGACCCTTCACACCATCATATGACGCAACTGCCTTTCACATATGAAGATCGTTCTAATCCGTATGGGCATTCTCAACCGAAAAAGAGTTCGATTCACAGCGTTTCAAGAATAGTGTTTGTCGCACCTGGATATGCTCCACGAGCAACTGATAGAACAAGGCATCAACAATAACCAACATAGACTAAGCGGCCTTCGATTTCGATTTAATATATTCGATTAAAACATCATCATTGATCTATGACATTTTTTTAAAGAAGAATAAATGTTTAAGGGTCTTTTTTGACGGCACGTCTACTACTCGCGGCGGATTGTTTTACCTTGTCTACTTTTTTATGCAAAAAATCATGCTGACTGCTTTTTGAGTATTGTTAAGGGAATCAACAACGAAGCGGAGATCAGTAATGAGATGGAGAGTTGCTGCTGATAACTCGTCAGGCAACAGTTAACAACAGTATTTTTGTTTTACAAATACAAATACAAATAAGGGAATGAAAAACCTTACATAAATGGGAACAACTTACGTTATGAAACTTCTTATGAATTCTCAAGATGACTTTAATATCAACCGTAATTAGGCCTGTGAAAGTTCACGTTTCGTTCCTTGAACGTTAACGCTAAAGCACTGATGAACGTGAGCTTTTTTTATATGAACGATGTTCATATTGCCTGACGTAAATATAAAATTCTGTTCTTGTACTGTAGTAAGAACATATATATTTCTGCTTGGTCTTATCTGATCAGTAGAAAATCTAGCGAACGATCAGATGGTCTGCTCAGGACAGTGACCGGATTATTGCTAGACATGCACCAATCCGATAGTTCAGTGACCGAATGGTTCGCAGTTGAACATGTTCGATCACCAAATGGTGCGCAGTCGAATCACCGAACGGTTCGCAACCAAACATGTTCGGTGACCGAACGTGTTCGGACGAAGACTGCAAACACGATAGTTTATATTTTTCTCATCAGAGATATCACTGAGCGCTCTGCTGAGAAACTATTAGAAGATAGTACCATAAACCTTATAAAGATACATTCCAGTTAAGGCTGCAACTTTCTGTCTACTTTATTTGCACAGTGCGGAAAAGCATTTTTGCCTAAAAACAAAGTAAATCAATCTGCTACAGAAGCTTAGTAAAGTATGCTTTAGTTAAAGAGTAAATCAGATATAATGGAAACTAAAGGTACTTAGGACTTCCTGGAATAAAGCAGGCATAAAGTTGCTGCTCTTAATCAAACTTTCTTTAAATGACAACCTGTGGCTACGGCTTAATCATGGCTGCTCCTTCGTTTGATGTAATCTTCACCATTTTTCTGTTTTACAAAGATTTCTTTCATGTTGCTTCTTCGCTTTCATGTTCTTAGCTTTGATAAACTATATTTTTTAAACCTTTGGTAGCGAATCGCTCGGTGACCGAACATGTTCGGTAGCGATCCGGTAGAACACATATTCGCTCACATTGTACTTTAGTTACTGTATTTTCTCACCGGTTAGTTCCTTCTAATACTTCAATTTCATTCCATCTGTCTTTGGTCTAGACTAGGCATGCAACAATCCCAAGCTAGGACCCACTGGTCGGCAGCGAACCGTTTGGTGACCGAACATGTTTGGTAACAAACTGCCGCGTGCCGATCAGCGAGCCCCAGCTTGAGATTGTTGCATGCCTAATTATTGCAATGTACAAAGGATGGACATTAGTTTTCTGATCAAGACACTGATTGTTCCGAGAAGAGATCGCCGATTTCCTGACCAGAAGAGTAGTTTTGCCTGCAGCGGAATTGAAGTTCCTTGGTCCAAATCATTTCAGTGACTACATACGTTTTCCTTTGTTATCGCAACCCATTTGGGGCAAGCGAGCGGTGATTTTCACTAAATATAACTGGTAATGGAGAGCGCTGTTTCACACTACTAGATCTTATACTACTGGGCGAAATTGCTATATAACGTTTTGGAATACTATTTATTCCACACAAGAGCAACATCGGTCATATAAAATAAAGTTTATGTTCAGTACAACATTCGCGTTCACGTGCAAGGAACGCGAACGTACTTTGATATTAGGTAATATGGTGAGACGTTGCACCTTACACAAGGACACTTAGATAAGCTAACTTGAGTAAGATGATCGGGGCTACCAGAAAACAATAATAAGAGGTGTGCCAATTTTTTTGGTTCTAGCCCACTGTTTTTTTTTCTACTTAATTTTTATGATTTTAAAGAGAAAACGATTCTATATATTTCGCAGTTAGTCTCAACCCTTACAGAGAATCTTAAAATAATTTTCCTTAGGTGATTGGTAAAGGATACTATTGCTTAAGTAAAACATTGTTCAAAATCTAATATGAAGCTCAGATATAGAAAATAGCCACACTGAACAAACCGGTATCTAAACCATAGTTGGGTATCATATCATCAAACAGCATTAATTTCGAACATTTCTCAGCTTGTCACAACGACTGAGTGATCACATATCCAGTTTTCTCCCACAAATCAGAGAAGATGCAATTAGTCTGTTGTATAGAAAAGCCATGATAATATTCTGAATAAACAGACTCTGAATGTCACTGACTCAATTCAGAGAAAAGACTAGTTGAAGTGAAATTGCATTACACTTCTCTGCCACACAAAAATGCTATTTTTGTATAGATGTGCTTCATGTAATTGGAAAACATCTGAAGGAGAGTGCTGTGCTTTGTTTCATACAAGCAGATAAAAAGATGATCTTACGAAAAGTTAAGCCTTTTAAGAGACGATCCGTGATAGGAAGAAGAAGGGCAAGAATACTCCACCTTGCGGCTACCGTTATTGGTAGCCAGTTTCTATAGCCCGATACATTCCCTACAACTGACAAGTTTCTGCTATGGTCATCCATATCGTTACTTCAACTGCAGCTCTTATCAAAAGGCTAGCCCAACGCAGAGTACTTTCGCTCAATTGCTTGAGCGCCCTCCCCCTTGCACACTCACTAACCATATACTATCATTCCGAAAAGTCACGAAGACTAATCGGAACAACTACATTATACGTCACCACCTAGAGAGTATATTATCGGACGGGTGATTCGGGGCACTAAGACATGAGTAACTTGTCCAGAGCTATTACACGATTTGCCGATGCTAAGGTTCGAATACAGTGCTTTTGACGTACATGATGAACAATATAGCTATCAAGCCATGATCTATGATAAAATTGAGAATAGTTAAAGAAGTCAATAATATGCAAAAAACATTTTTTTCTAACTATGCTCATTTGGTTCTCTGTTGAAAGTTACCGTTACATTCAAATTTTTAAGCTTTAGAAACGTTTTAGTCAAATGATAAGATTTTTTTAAAAAATGAAGTGAAGAGTTTTTCTCAAAAAGCGACTGTTGTTTTATTCTGATTATTTTTCCATCTATCGTTTACCCCAAAATTTCCAACTATATATCAGTCGAACCAACATAAAAAACCTGACAAAAAATGTGATAGTTTTTAGCTTTTTGGAATTAATGTTAAGATAAAAGAGTTGAAAACAATGAAAGGACCCCGCCGGATAAGGGTCGAAATCTGCGAAAACGGCAAAAATAAATTATACACCCTCCAACGTACATCTCTAAAAATTAAACTCGAAGCGGTAGACCAAGGGCCAATATACAAAACTGGCCAGTGATCACTACAGCCAAACCGGATTATCGAAACATCGTCAGGATTTTCTGTACAACAGACGAGATCGACACTATTCATTGAACGTTTGGATATCGGTTCACTGGTTATTCCAATATTAAAAATAACGTCATTACAAAAAGTATGTGATAGACGACGGAAGAAGATAGAATATGACACTGTTGAAAATGACAGAAGCAAAAGTCAAAGACGATATAGGAACATCTGATAAAACATTTGTCCCAAGATCTACAGGTAAATATGGATATTTGGTTAACAGCCAATAAACGATGGCATGAAATACTTACATTGACCACGAATATCTTCATTGGATAACATGGATGAGAAAACCTAAGGTATCTTTTCGTTCGTCGTTCTAAACGTGGAAAAGATGAAGAGGACCTGTTAAGTTACACAAATTACGATGAACATAACTAAGACAAAAAGAGACACCGGTTATCCAAGAATACTTTTCATGATTTATCGATTACTAAAATTACTAAAAGTTGTAGGTACTAAAAGAATCTTTATGTATTCACTAGGAGGAGAACGGAAGATCAGATGTCTGTAATTAATTTTAATAGCAGTGTATTGTCTAACTATTCTTCGGTGGATGTGCCAAACTTCACTGAAGATATGTCTTTCATTGTAATTTCCCTCTCAA